TGTTAGGGTTTGAGGATTAACCCCTAGAAAAGTATTGCAGCAGTAGTCAAGCCAGGAAGCCAAAGGAGAGTGGAAGGGCCCCAGAGTATACACACACTGAACACAAACACTGTTTGTAGTTTAAATAGTTTTTAATCCAGTTAGAGTTTAAGCATTGTCATTCAGTCCATTAAGTCATTCACAGTATTTCCATCCAGTAAGACTCACTAGTATAGTCCAAGTTAAGAGTCCTTGTAATATCTTTATCAGCCGATAAAGATATCTTCTCCTCCTCCGGTTTCACTCTCCAGAGAAACAAACGCTGGATATTCAGTAGAATTACACAGTAAATCAGCAAACAGTAGCAAACAATAACAGTTCAGTCACAGGCACTCACAGTCAGTAATCACAGTTAGTCGCAGCAGCACACAGTTACAGCCAGAGACAGTAAGCTCTCCAGCTTCTAATGCTTCCTTATATTGTAACTTCTAACCGCACCTTTAATCGGCTAATTGCCTGCTGCATTGTGCTTAAAGTGATAAGCACTTAAACCATGATATCTAAGTTTTATATATTTATTCACCCAAACCATATTTGGTATCAATGTTATACCTAACACTTGGTGCAAATGCTCTCAGTATACATAAAAGATACATTCATCAAGAGTCAAGAATCATAAGGTACAACACTTAATAATAATCATAGGGTACAATAAGCAATCAAATCATACTAGGAAACAGTCAATATAGATCGTAAGGATACAAGCAACAAAGTTAGTCATACAGTCACAAGTTGGAGGGGACGGGTGATAAGGACTGATGAGAAAGTTAATAGTAATAGTAATATTCAATCCAAGTGTCCAGTAAGTTGTTTTAACCAGCGTCTTTTATATTTAATTTCAACAACCATCATGTCCATAAGTCTTTGTTTCCAGGTTCCTTCTATTAATTCCTTTTCCAACTTTTTCACAGAGTCACTGGGTAGTTCCAAAGCAATTTCTTCAAATATCTTTTCCCCTTGAAATATTCTAGTATTTTACTTTTCAGGGTTTTTATTTTATTATAATGAAGTTCCTCTTATTTTCTTTTAAGTTCCAAGATCCAATTT